GGCTGCATTTGCATCTTTCATTCTCTAATTCATTAACACTATAACATCTCCCGCTTAAAATACAAATTACATTAAGAGAAAATAAGCGAAGATAAATGAAAGCTAACTGAAAAACTACTCGAAAACGTGCAATTGCCCTAATAGAGTGTTCCTGCATTACTCAATGTTCAGTGTTCTACTGAAAGTTCAGTGTTCAACTACATCTCTTCAATTAAACGGTTGAGTTTCGATCAAATTCTAGTTGAATGATGTCTAGGTTCTTCAGGAACAGTTGGGACAGAAGTATCCATAGCATTTTCTTCTTGTGCAACAATCTGTCCAGATGGTGGAACTTGAACCAAAGGCTTGGTAGACTTCTCATTCAGTACAGACTGTTGTTGAGGCGATGGGTCTTGCGTTGGAACAGGCATACTTGCATCTAGCGTCTCGGGCAAATTGATCTCTGGTAATTCGCAGCTTTTGGGCTCAACATCGGCTACCTTTGAACCAGCTAGTTCTCGTGACTGGTTGATATGTCTCTTCCAGAGCAACTTTCCAACTTGTACTCGGTACGTGACTGGACCCAATCAATCTTGAACAACGCCCTTAGCCTAAGCGGATCCACAGTTACGGTAGTCCTTCACCATAACAGTTTCACCAACCATGGGATTGATCCTCCTCGACTTTTGTTCTATTCGTGCAGACAAGTCGGGTCGCAGTTACTCAAGCCTTGTATGCAGTCTCTGCCCCATCAAAATTTCTGCTGGTTGACATCCAGTAGTTGTATGGGCTGTGGTACAGTAGCGTAAAAGAAATCGAGCCAATTTCTCAGTTTGGGTACCCGGTTCATTCTTCATGACTCGTGGCTTTTTTAAATGTCTGAACTGCACATTCCGCTTCACCATTGGATGCAGGATGATAGGTTGAAGACAAACACAGGCTAACACCATTGGCAGTTAAGAAATCTTTCATCTCACCTGCAACAAATTGTGGACCATTGTCTCCCACTATCTCTTCCAGCAAGCCATGCGTCACAAACAGGCCGCGTAAAGCTCTAATTGTGGCACTGGCACTAGTGGAGGACATTTGAATCACTTCTATCCCCTTAGACTTGGCATCAACCACGATAAGGAGCATTCCTCCATTGAATGGTCCGGCAAAATCCACTTGTAAATGCTGCCACGGGGGAGTAGGCCAGATCCATGGGTTGCTCACCTTTAAGGGTGCTCTGCAATGGTTGGCTTGACAATCAGAGCAATCTCTCACTGTCTGTTCGATGTTACTCTCCAGGTTTGGCCACCAAACATGCAGTCATGCCAAAGACTTCATTCGCACCACTCCTGAGTGGTTAAGGTGTAGTTCAGACAACACTTCCTCTCGATATCTAGAGGGTATCACTACATTTGTACCACACAACAAGCAACCATCCTCAAGTGTAAACTCTTCACGTTTGGCACAATAGAATCTGAGTTCCTCTGGTGTATTCTCGTCTGCTGGCCAACCATGCAATATGTTATGTAAGACATGTGAAAGAACAGGATCACCTCTTGTAGCCTTCCTGATTCTGGTTGCTGTAATGGGTATACGTTTAATTTGGACTCTGTTGAATTGATCTCCCTCTATCAACCAGTCGTCAGCTTCTTCAATGGTTTTCCTTGGCAAGCGAGACAAGGCGTCTGCATTTCCATGGTCCTTGGATGCACGATATTCAATATTCAGTATAAGCTGCCAGTTGAATGGACCATCGCTGTAGGCGAGAGGCTGTGAGAACTGGAATCCCTCGTTTCGGACCAAGAATGTAGGTGAGAGGTTTGTGATCTGTTAGCAAAGTAAACCGTCGACCAAACGGGTACTGGTGAAACTTTTTTATGCCAAAGATGATTGCCAAGGCCTCCTTTTCAATCATTGAATAGTTCTGTTCACTTGAGGAAAGAGTGCAAGAGGCAAAGGCTATCGGCTTCTCTTCACCATCCTCAGAAATATGTGACAACACAGCTCCTAATCCAAAAGACGACACATCAACTGCCAATCACACCAGCCCCTTTGGATCCTAATGTGCCAGCAAAGGTGCAGATTGCAAAATGCCTTCAGCTTCTGAAATGCTTCTTGACATTGTTTAGACCATTTCCACGGAATGTTCTCTACTAATAAACGATTCAATGGGTGAACCAGGGTAGCCATGTCAGGAACAAATCTGCGATAGTAATTAACTAATCCCAGAAAGGATTTCAGTTCCTTTGGGTTCTCTTGTACTGGCACCTCTTGAATAGCTTGAACTTTACGAGGAGATGGGTGAATACAATCACGATCGACCACAAAAGCGAAGTATTCTACTGATGGCTTCATAAACACACACTTCTCCTACTTTAACTTGATTCCCATGCTGCTCATTTGCTCCAAAGCACCTTCCAGGTTACGAAAATGTGTCTCATCATTTGAACCAGTAATAATGAGATCATTGAGAATACCACCAACCCCCCAAGACCATTCATGACTGAATCCATTATCTTCTGAAAAATTGCAAGACTAGATGCTACACCAAAGGGTAGGTGGGTGTATCAGGACAGGCCAAGGTGCATATTGATTGTTACGTACTTCCTCGATTCCTCATCTAAAAGCACTTGCTGGTACGTTGAAGACAAGTCCAGGTTACGAAAATGTGTCTCATCATTTGAACCAGTAATAATGAGATCATCGAGAATACCACCAACCCCCTGAAGACCATTCATGACTGAATCCATTATCTTCTGAAAAATTGCAGGATTAGACGCTACACCAAAGGGCAGGCGGGTGTATCAGAACAGGCCAAGGTACGTATTGATCGTTACGTACTTCCTCGATTCCTCATCTAAAAGCACTTCCTGGTACACTGAAGACAGGTCCAGCTTAGTAAAGTTTTCCCCTCCATTTAATTGGGTGAATAGGTCATCAGCTGTTGGCATTGGGTGTTCTGGTACATCCAAAACAGGGTTAATCATTACCTTGTAATCACCACAGATTGAAACACTACCGCAAATGGGCGATGGGCATGGCCCAATCCAAAAACTCCACCTTTTCCAGCTCACCGATCTTTTCCAGTCTTCGAAGCTTGTCAGCAATCTTCTCTTTTAACGTGAACGGTACTGGTCTGGGCTTAAAGAACTGCAGCACTGCGTTTTCTTTAAGCTTCAAATGGGCATAAACTCCTTTAATGGTCCCCAGATTACCATCCAATAACAATGAATACTTTGTTTGAAGTAAGTCCAACTTGTTAACTGGTTCTAGGGAAATCTGCTTGATATGTCCCCAGTCCAACTTCAACACGGACAGCCAATTGCGACCCATCAACACTGGACCATCATTTCCTGTGATAACAACCGATAATACTGCTTCTTGATCACGATATGCAATTTGAACTTAGCTTCTCCGATAACAGGAATTTCATGACCGGAATAACTTCATAGCTTCACGTTTGTGCACTCCACAGGTTTTGACGCGAGAACATCAGTCCGAATACTCTTGGGAATAATAGTTACAGAAGCTCCAGTGTCAAGTTCCATGCCTACAGTCTTCCCATCAATTGCTACTAATACAATAAACTCTTTACATTTTCCACGGGAATCCAAGATGTTAAACATGGGCCAATCACTTTGACTCACTGATTGCCTGACTGCCGGATCTACTTTGACGAAATGAATCTTTTGCTGTTTCTTCTTTTTCCTAAATTTTGACTTTGGTGTCCACACTTAAAATCTTCTTGGGGGCATTCTAATATGTACATTATCAAACAAATCTCCTCAGAAAACTTTGGTGGGAGAGTTGAGCAAAGCATAGTAAAAATTTTATGTTTAGGAGACAAGAACCTTTTGAAATTTGAAGATTTTGTTGAAACCAAAACCATTTTGTAGTGAAAAGCTTGTATTTTGTCAAAATTCACTGGATTTCTTTTTATCACAATGTATTTTCCATTGTTTTTGTTTCTGCTCCTATTTCAGGAGTGTTTGGCTTCTAAAGAGATAAAAGATATCTTGTTGTCAGTGGGATCTTCTGCCATGTTCAGAGATGTCTGTTTACTAAGACTTGCGTGGCACTTACATGGGTTTGCAGCCTGTCTTAAACTTGTTGCCAAGGGTAGGTTTTACTCTTGCACTGTATTTGAATAAGGATACCACATCAACATCAATTTAGAGTCAAGGTCTATAAACATTCAAACAAAGAATAAGGCAAATATCCAGCCATCTTGACAGTCCAAGCTTAGTCAATAAAGGATTTGTTATATCGAAAGAAACCCTTATTTACATGTAGGGCACAGCAGGTAATCCTGAGCAGGCAAGATAGTGCCATCTTGCCTGCTGGTGTAACCAACCACAGCACAGGATTCACCTCATCTTGCCTGCCCATGGGACTAGGCATATAATAAACTCAATTATGTACCAGTCTCACAAAAGAGATGACCAATGTTTGGTGAACTTTATTTCTTTTGATCTGTGCAATTGCAGGAGAACTTGAATTTTGTAGCAGGGTGATGGCATACCAGACTATCTTTCATGTTCTTTATGTACTTGAGGAGTTATTGCAGGAGACATCTTTAATGGATCCATGTCTTGCAACAGGTGTTTACATTGTTTGAACCATGGTTATAGTTGTTTGTATAACAGATTTATTCTAATAAGATCATTGATGTAGGTATGGAAAAAGAGCTTTAGTCTTTCTCTCACCTTTTGTAGAATTGCAGGTTGTGGCTACCAATTTTGTATGAAGTTAGAAAACAACACTTTAAATACCTGTTTTAAAGGAATTTGCAAAGGTTTGCAACAGAGTTGCCCCAAGAAAAGACTTTTTTCATTATGCTTTGAAATAACATGCCCTTTGTGCAAGATTGGGGATTTTTGAAATAAATCAATCACCATCATGGAGAGATAAGAAATTTGTTACTTTTCAGGACTATATTCTTCAACATTAATCTCACCTCGTTAAATAACTGCAAAAATGTAGCAAGTCACCATGCTTACTGCTATCTCACTTAGCAGTGAGCTTGCTGGTTGACAAAGAGCCAAGCCAGGTTTAATAGTCTATTACTTGGAAACTAATCTTAGTCAATAGTTTGCATTTAAATGTAACACTGTATATGCAGTTGATATTGTGTTTGTGAAAGAACAGTAGGTAAACTAGAGTTCATGAATTTACAACCGAATAATTTTTTCTTTCTACAGTTTCCTCCATCTATCATCAACTTAGTGGTTCTCTGCTGCACATTTCGCAGGCGTTCCCAGTTTTTTCCCATTTTTTGTGGAAGCTACAAGTACTGTTGATGCAACTGCCTTCTTTCTCAGAACCACAAGAAAAACAGACGTAGACCCTTTAGGACCCATTCTTTGTAGGTAATTTATTTGCAGTTATCCCCAAAGGTGTTTTTCATATCACAGATTCTGAGATTTTAAATAAAACTTTGTAAAACTACATTTCTTGTTTTTACACATTTGATTATTATCTGTTAACAGAAAGTTTGTCAGTTATTTTAACATCTTTCGGAGTTTTTAAAGGAAGCTTATGTCTATAACCTGAAAATAAAGGTTCAAAAGTTATGTTGTTTGTCATTTATGTCAGGCTGGGAGTTTTTGGTACTTTTTGCCTCCACATGCTTACGGCATGTTCGTTTGGGATATTCAGAATAAAAATATATTCCGGAATAGGTAAATTTTTCGTTTGCCAAATGAATGATTATTCCTGATATTCTGGATATTCTGATATGCTTGCTGTCTGTTACACGAAAAAGTCAGTGGATTTTTTTGTCGCTCTGCAACTTTAGCAACAAAAACCACAGGCTCAGAGAAGTGACAAGATTTTTCAAGGTGGCATCCATGGCCAGAATATGTGCTATTCTGTTGTCTGTTTGCACAGAGGAGTTGACGGAGTATGAGTATGAGTGTGAAAGTGATAGCGACATGGTAGAGGAATATTTACCATTCTTAATAATAATAATAATAATAATATTTAATATTTCTAAGGCGCAAATTAACATGTAAATATGATCAAATGCGCCTAACAAACCATATGGCTAATATAAATTAAACGATATGCTATGAATAGTGTGATTAATTAAAAACTAATTATTTACAATAATTATGTACATTAGGCTAAGGTAACGAGCTAAAAATTAAAATATTAAAAACAAGGGATCTAGTAAAAATGTATATAAAACATCAAGAGCTATTCAAACGCTTTTCTAAATAAAAATGTCTTCAGTTTGGACTTAAAATGGTTATTCTTCCTCTTAGAAGATAAGTTAAAGAGCCGTGAGAGGGCTGTTCGTATTCAAGGTTATGCCGAGGAAGTTGTTCCAAGTTATTCTCTGTCTACTTTTCGTGTGCGATTTAGGCTTACTCCAGAAACATTTGAAAACTGGTGCACGAGTTAGCTAATTGTCTGGAAATTCCACAGGGACACTCTCATAGAGGAAGGCCAGCAATTTTGATAGACAAGCAGTTGCTTATTTTCTTGTGGTTCTTAGGGACACAAGAATGCATCAGATCAATTTCAGACAGATTCAGTGTTACGAAAAGTTCAGTGCATGTATCTTGCCAATGTGTATGTGATGCCATAAAGAATAATTTAGCAGAACATGTCATAAAGTGGCCAAGTAGCAGTAGAGCTGTAGAGGTAATGGAAGGGTTTGAAGAACACAACAGAGTTCCTGCTGTGATTGGGGCAATTGATGGGTCACACATTCCAATTAAAGCTCCTCGAGAGTACTCAGAGAACTACATCAGCAGGAAAGATTTCCATTCCATCATATTACAAGCTTGCTGTGATCATGAAATGTTCTTCACCAACTGTTACTGTGGCTGGTCTGGAAGTGTTCATGACTCTGGAGTGTTATGAAATTCAGACACTTTTGATTCTGCCTCAAATAGGCATGATGACTTCTTTCCCAAGAATTCACACTTGTTGGGTGATGCAGCTTACCCACTGAAAACATGGATCATGACCCCATACAAGGACAATGGGCATTTGACAGAACAGCAAAAAACCTACAATTATCTTCATTCCTCAACCAGAATGGTGATTGAGCGAACATTTGCCCTGCTAGAGGGTTGTCTTTGAAGATTAAAGTATGTTGATATAGACAAAGTCAATGATATTTTTAGTCGTTGTTGCCTGTGTTCTTCATAACATCAGGTTGTGCAATGAGGATAGCTTTTTGGACTTCATGGATGACCAAGATGATGAGGTGAATGGGTCCAAGTATTCTTACTCCTAACACCCCAGCAGTTCAGAAGTGTACAGAAATCATGGAGTATCTAACAGTAAAAAGCTCTTGACTGTTGTAACTTGTATGTGTGGTCCAGATGAAAATTCATTGCAACATAGGTGATAGCTTGCAAACACAGATTGATTTCTGTCTGTTGTTTTGTGCCTCCAAAAAACTGAAACAACAGGCAGAAATATGTCTGCCTTAACAGGCTACACACTTGGGTTATTTTAACAGAACTTTTAATTCCATCTTGTCAGATGATTCAGCTCAAAGTGTGAGAGCAAATGACACTACATCTTTTCTAATGAAAGTGTTCTCTTCCATTTCTGTGCAAGAGCTATGATGTATTATCATTTTTTCTGAGCTGCATCCAGTCTAAATGAACTAAATTGCACAATCTGATTGGAAAGATGATCCAGATGTTTTCAGTTGGAATTAATAAACATCTTATCAACCAAACTGGTTTGGCCAGTTGTAACAATATCATTCTTATTTGAAAGAAAATGAATACTTGAAAAACACCTTATAAGAGACAGACCATTTAATTTTTGAGTGGGGAGGGGGGTGGGCAAGTTTCTTAGCTTGAAGGTTTTTCTCTCTTGCATATGTGCATTTTTTCTCTTTTAGCTTGATTTTTTTCTTTCTTAGGCTTGTTGTGCATGATATTTTTTTTCTCTTCTTTTCTTGTGCAAGAATTGTTTTTTGTAATTGACAAACCCCCCGATCAAAATTTAAATGGTCCATCCCCAAGTAAATTGCTTGTTACATGACGTACATGTATACTGATTAATCCTTGTCTCTGGGGTCAGGCTTGTTATTTTAGCTGGGCATTTCAGCCTTTAATTGCTTACTGTAGCCAGAGCTCTCAAGGTTTGCATATTTTACAACATTACAACAACAACAACAAAAATTCAAACCTATAGTCCTGGGTTTATTTGATGAATATTATTATAATTATTATTGTCAGACATTTGTTTTTCAGTATGCCTTTGCAATCCCCAAAATATTCCAAAAGAAATTTTGGGGGTTGAATCTTGTGATGTTGGTATTTTGGTAATGGAAAATTTTGCCAAGTACTTTTCTGAGAAATATGGAGGGCTTATTTTTGGAGAACAGAGGGGGGGGGGGGCGGGTTTGTCATACAAAATTTCTTGTACTACAGTGTAACCAGATATGAAAACATGGAAAACATGGAAAACATGGTATCCGTTGGGGGTTTTATGTTAGTTTTTGTGTTTTTTTTGGGGGGGGGGGGGGGGGGTTGGGCGGGGGTATTTTGGGGGGTATTAGTCCATGAAATGCACATAAACATGGACAATAATCACCTGCATTAAAAACGTTTTATTTATTCTAACATTTTTCAGGCTTTTTGACACCTTTGGAACTTATGGCAGCAGTTTGAAAAATGTTATTCAAGTATTTCATGATGCAGAGACAAGCCAAAATGTTGATAAAACAATAGAATTATTTACTGCTATAAATATTGCCTGATTGAAATATAGTTACAGTATGCATTGAGGAACAAAATACATAACTTCTGAAGCAAATATAATTTGTATTACTATAAAATCAAATTTATATCATTTCAAATAGATTACGTTTCTGAGAAAAATGCCATTCATGTAAAAAACATGCTGGGAACAAACATGACAATAAATATTCTGAGTACAATTAATATGACATTTGAGCAAGTATCCAAGCTACAGTCAAACATATACAGTCGTTCACTGTTCCTTGAGACCCCTCGGAACCTCTAGCATTCCCCCAAGTACCTTCATTTTTTCATTGTGGAATGCCTCAAACTTCCCCATTTTTGCTCATGGATGTTATGTAACATCCATGAGCTTAGGAGGCAGTCGGGTGGTGCTCGATCACTCACTCCTTCCATTCTAATTAATTTATTCATTAAACCTGGATTAAACAATTTTCTCCTACTTCCCCTGCTAAGTATTGCTTTTGTCCAAGAGTGCTCAGTCGTCTTCAGGGAAGTTCTTTGATGAGGGGGGACTAGAAAGGCGTACATTATTGCCCGATAAATTAAGAGCCTGGGTATGAGTTTATCAAACACCTCAAAGATTGGAGGTGACCATTTCGGTTTCATGTGATTTTCTTTCGTAAATATGTTGTTTTTTGCCTATCGGCTTTTGCTCACACCTAGATGAAGCTGTTAGAGGTATTTATGACTGTGGTCATGTATCGTTCACAACAGCATGGTCAGCGAGGTCAAAGAATTGATACAAGACACCTGGGAAGAAAGGCCAGAAGGTGAGATTGTGATCAGCTTTTTTCCTTGGCAAGAGAATTTGATGCTTTCCACTCGCTTTCTCTTGTTGTGTAGTCAAAGGTAAGCTTAAATTCTTGTTAGGTTTTGGTTTCATTGTTTCTTTACTGTTTGATTTTGTACGCACCCATTGAAATTCTGCCTGTGTTAGTATTGCAATTAGCTCGAAATTTGTAAGCTTGTTTTTAAATACTTAGGGGAAAAAATTCGAATTGCCTTATCTTTTAGTTTTGTTGTCGTTCACATTACATTTCTTTTCTATTCCATGCAGTTCGACCAAAGTGAAAATTTCATCACGGATGATATGCAAGGCAACCTACATGTACGATTGAGTAAATATAGAGTACAATATTTTGGTGATAGATGAACAATTTGAGTCTAAGAGATTGTGTAGATCTTTTTTTTTTTTGCGAGAAAGATATGCTGTCCAATTTTGTCAAAAAGCCGGACGCGTGGTGGCTGGTGATAGAGATTTTTTTTTGCTCCTAGAAATGAGAGATTTAAACAAAGTGACATCAAAACTTGAATTATGGAGAAGAGAATACTTGATACTTGTCAACATA